AAGGAAGAAAAGGAAGAAGGAAGGAAGGAAGGAAGGAAGGAAGGAAGGAAGGAAGGAAGGAAGGAAGGAAGGAAGGAAGGAAGGAAGGGAAGGAAGGAAAGGAAGGAAGGAAGGAAAAAGAAAGGAGGGAGAGGGATTGAGAGGGAGAGAATGAGAGAGAGGGAAAGGGGGAGGGAGAGAGAGAGAGAGAGATAGAGAGAGAGAGAATATGAATTACTGGACAAGTGTATATTTGACTCTTAGAAACCACCAGTTTTGGCCAGACACGGTGGCTCATGCCTGTAATCCCAGCACTTTGGGAGGCCGAGGTGGGACGATCACGAGGTCAGGAGTTTGAGACCAGCCTGGCCAACATGGTGAAACCCCATCTCTACTAAAAATACAAAAATTAGCTGGGCACAGTGGCAGGCACCTGTAATCCCATCTACTCGGAAGGCTTGAACCCAGGAGGTGGAGGTTTCAGTGAGCCAATATTGCACGACTGCATGCCAGCCTGGGCAACAGAGTGAGACTCCATCTCAAAAAAATAAAAAGAAATAAACCACCAGTTTTTCAGAGTGGAGGTGCCATTTTATATTCACACTTGAGTGTTTAGAAGTTCCAGTTATTCTGCATACTTGCCAGCACTTGGTATCATCAAGTCTTATTTTAGCAGTTATATTAATTGTGTATCCATCAATATCTTTTTAAAACCTGTTTACTCAGGCAGAACATGCAAACGTAAACGTGCACAAATCATAAATGTACCAACTAGGTCAACAGCCACAAAATGAATATCTCAGTTTAACTGCCGTGAGGCCAAAAACAAAACAAATCCCACATTATCAGCATCCCAGAAGACCCCTTGTGCCTCCTTCTGGTCGGCAGCCACTCTGGCAATAAGGTGACTACCATCCAGATTTAACAGCACATGCTAATTTTGCCTGGTTTGAAACACTGTATAAATGGCATCATATAATATGTATTCTTTTCTGTCTGTCTTCTTTCACTCAATATTATGTGAGATTTATCTATGTTATTAGATATAGTTCATTAATATTCACTACAGTATAGTGTTTCAATATAAGATTATTCCACAATTTATCCATTCTACTGTTGATGGACATTTGTGCTGTTTCCCTGGGAGTGAAAACAGTGTGTCAAGAGCTATATATATATGTTCAACTTTAATAAATAATGGCAAATAATTTCCCAAAGTAGTTGTACCAATGTGCACTCCCAACAGAAGAGCAAGAGCATTCTATTGCTCCATATCCTTACCAATACCTGGCATCACTAGTCTTCAATTTTAGCCACTCTGATGAATGTGTATAGGTATTCCATTATGGTTTTAATTAAAATTCCCCAGATCATTAATAAGGTTGAACAACTTTTCACTGGATACAACCTTTTGTGAAGTGCTTGTCTCTTGCTCATTTTTAAACTGGGCACATCTGTCTTTTTATTGATTTGCAGTTCTGTATATACCTCAGTATAAGCCCTTCATCGACTATAAAGCATAGCAAACATCTTCCTCTCTGAGTTGGCCTTTCACTCTCTTTTTTTTTTTTTTTTTTTTTTTTTGAGACGGAGTTTCGCTCTTGTTACCCAGGCTGGAGTGCAATGGCGCGATCTCGGCTCACCACAACCTCCGCCTCCTGGGTTCAGGCAATTCTCCTGCCTCAGCCTCCTGAGTAGCTGGGATTACAGGCATGCACCACCATGCCCAGCTAATTTTTTGTATTTTTAGTAGAGACGGGGTTTCACCATGTTGACCAGGATGGTCTCGATCTCTTGACCTTGTGATCCACCCGCCTCGGCCTCCCAAAGTGCTGGGATTACAGGCTTGAGCCACCGCGCCCGGCCGCCTTTCACTCTCTTAATGGTGTCTTTTGATGAATGAACATTTTTACTGCACTACCATCAGTATTTTTAAAAAGTACCCCAGATGAGAGTAAAAACTGGAAACAGGGTTGATAACCACTGCTCCGGTTGCTGGAGGACCAGAAACTGAACTGTCCCAAACAGCAAAGTTTGTTCACATAAGAGTATACTCAACAGAGACTTCAACTGCCAGAGTCTGCAGAAGAACAAAGGTAGGAATCACCAGGCAGCAGGTGAAAAACAACAGGAGAGGAGGGGAAGAATGAGAAAGGCTCAAATAAGACATGACCGAACCTCTAAGGCATTTCATACTGTGACTTTAAAACAACCAATTTTTTTTTTTTAATGTTTTGATCGAGTTATAAAAACAACCAATTTTCTGAAAGAGCTGGATACCAATACAAAGGACGGGCCATCTGAAGAGCTTATGAATTAACCAAAACCTACACAACTAGAACCATCTTCATACTGTGTGCAGAGTTAGCTGTCCTCCAAGGTTTTTTTCTATATTTTAAGCCAATTTTAAACCAAAATCACATTTCTTGCAATTTTTTAAATCTATACTTAAAGTCTCCCTTTCTGGCCATTCCAGCAGATGAGAGAAGGCAGCTCTGTGTTTTAACTTATTAGAAATACCTATATCTTGAAAGAGACTTGGCAAATGACTTGAAACACAACCACAGCAATAATATCCTACAGCTGAAATTAGGGTCCCTTATCAGCAGAAGAGGATTGCCATGGCATCATGCCAGAAAGAAGCCAGAAAGGGAGCATCTATAGTCAATAGAAAAATGCAATGGGTAGGGGGGATTTACTTGTAAGAATTGTTCCATCAAAATACCCCAGTCCTAGCTTCTCTTAAAAATCAGTTACTTCACAAATGATCACAGCTAAAAGATTTAAACAGGCTGTTAAGAAACCTCTCTTTCCTCTCTACTGCCTGACTGAGGCCTGAGAAGAATCACATGGTAACAGTAGCCCTAGAAGGAAGGGTACAAAGCAAACACTGGAGAGGGGGCCCAGAGCAGTCATGATCTGATCTTGCACAGGCTGCCTCTGTATTCCTGTGGTCAACATTCAAATAACACTAAAGTTGATCAGTTAGTGGCTTCCCAACCTATAAAAATCTGCTAATCCCATAAGTGGAGGGTCACATCTACATGGCACACAATTAAGAAAAGGAGAGAATTCGCCTCTATAATATTGTAATCCCAATTATCATACAGACTACTCTGATGAGGAAAACATCTGTCCCTAAACTGTTCTGATATACGCTCTTACAGAGGCTTCAAAATCTTGCAGCTATATTTCAAATATGCATAATTAATTTTGTGTGGCATCATAAAGCCAGTATAGCAAATTGCTTAGGTACTTTACTGGTATCTGACACAGGGCATGGCAGAGAAACTTAAGTCCTGGCTCATTATAGAGAAGGCCTTGGGCAAGACAGTTTATCTCTCTGGGCCTCAGATTCATCTGTCTACATAAGGGGTTAAACTAGATAATCTCAGTACCAATTTTTATCCTGCTCATAGTGCCTTGCTAAAAGTGCTGAACCAATTTACTTGGCATTTATATACTGTCTCCTTCAATACAGTGCCAACTGAACTTAATACTAGAACAGGAAGATACTTTCCAGCAGCTTAAATCTAGCAGTTTTATGCATGCAAAATGGGGCTGCCGGGCAGATCTGGAATATCCTCCCTTCTAATGGTACCTTTAAAATCCTAACCAGGGCAGTGAAGCAGTATGAAATGGTACTTAAGGACATTTTATACTCCCTAGATCTTAACTGTTTACATTAGAATTTCTCTCACCTCATAGTCTGTGTTTTCACTGTATTCCTGGGTGCATGTACATCTGCACTTTAGGCATTTTCTTTTCTTTTTGATACAGACAGGGCCTCACCATGTCAGCCACACTGGAGTGCAGTGGCTATTCACAGGTGCAATCCCATTGCTAACCAGCACAGCAGTTTTGACCTGCCCTGCTACCAACCTGGGTCAGTTCACCTCTGCTTAAGCAATCTGGTGGTCCCCTGCTCTTAGGACGACACTATATTGATGCCAAACTTAATGCAGGCACCAGAATGGCATAGCGCATTATAACCCAGAACTCATGGTCTCAAACAATCCTCTGGCCTCAGCTTCCCCAGTAGCTGGGACTACAGGCATGCGCCACCACACCCAGAGCATTAGGTACTTTCTAATTGCTGGGCTCTGTGTACTATTACACCTCCCTCAGTATATTTACCACTACAATAGTGGTTTTCAAATTTGTTTAAAGTAAGAGAAAAACCCGGTATTCAAAGGAAATCTTCAGAACACCAATATTTAAAACATGTTTTAAAAGCCAAGGAAGGTTGCTCAGATTGAAAGGAGTGAGGTGATTTGCAGTAGCTTTGAAGGAAAAAATGAAAAAAAAAAAAAAAGTGAGGAAGGAAAGGAGCTAAGCGCAGTCAGATCAGTTTCTTCCTTTTCCGCCTGTTCACTGAGCCACAGTGTACTCCAGAAGCTTCAGGAGATTCTGCAGACTTCCAGGATCTCTGGAGCTTCGTCTCAAACAGGCTAACTTGCCCAGTAACTTAGTCTAGTTTTGGAATAGGACCTACTACCCCAATTCAGATATTCTCTTCAAGGTAACAAACTTCACCCCAAACCAAGAGAAATTATTTTAGCATAATCTAATCTCTGGTAGCATATGGAAGTGGCTGCTTCTGGAAAAGGAAACTGGATGGCTAGGAAAGAAGTTATACTTTTGAATTTTACACCATGAATTACATATGCAAAAAAAAAAAAAAAGTAATTTAAAAATAAATAAAATTCATTAGGTTTCCATGAATTCTGTACCTTGTTGTCCGTAATTGTCCACTGGCCCTCGGGATTCTGCTTTAAAACACAGTGGTTTCGAGAAATCATCAGAGGGCAGATTTTTGATACCAGTTGGTATGTGACACCAAATCCTCGTCCTACAGTCACCTGGGAAGACAAAAACAATATAAGAAATATATTGTAAGAAATACAATGTAAGAAGTCATTGTGCTGAAAAGGGAGGTTTTTACAAAGCTTGTCAACCAGCAGCATATGCAGGTCCTGACTTAAGAGACCAGACACCTGTGAAACCAAAACAGTGCATCTGCTATCTCCTCTTTAGCTGCCATGAAAGCCACCAAGTAGAAAAAGGCAAACTGTTGTGACAGGAGGAGAAAGCTGAAAAGAGCTATCCAAGTACTTCAGGGTTGGCAAGATCTTGAAAGGTCATCTGGTTCAGTGACCATGAGATAGAGGAATTCTTTCTACACATCCCATCAACTCATAAACACTGCAGGTCCGGGAGCGGTTGCTCATGCCTGTAATCCCAGTACTTTGGGAGGCCAAGGTGGCAGGATCGTGAAGTCTGGAGTTTGAGACCAGCCTGGCCAACATGGTGAAACCCTATCTCTACTAAAAATACAAAAATTAGCTGGGTGTGGTAGCGGGTACCTGTAATCCCAGCTACTTGGGAGGCTGAGGCAGGAATCATTTGAACCCCGGAGACAGAAGTGTACTTTACATAACGCTGGCCCTCCTATTTTTTTAGTGTCTTTGACTTGGCATCTTTCACCCTATAAATTCCATCCATTGGTACTAGCTTTGCCCTGGGCACCATCAGGAAATCTCCGATCCCCTTTCAAAGTCACATTAAGTTTCAAAGTGAACATTAAGCTTTCTCATTTCCTGGTTCTGTGGCAGTTACTTCAACTTAACTTCCAGGGAATGGGTTTGAGTCTCTTTGCCATTCTTACGAATCTGTGAAAGGACTGCTGGTTTATCTTTATTCCTGGATGCCATATTAAGAAAAATACACAGTCAAATGCAAGTGTTACTTTCCCAGTTCTAGATATTATCACTGGACCGTATAAACTGCATTAGCTGTCATAGCAGATCTAGTACACTGCCAGTGTACTCGGACTCAGGAATGATTAAATTTCTTGGTCTCCCCCTCCTCCAAGAAATGCTATGCTAAGTCACGTCTCTTTCGCTCTATACTTGACCAGATGGAAAACCTTAGGTTCAAGCACAGGACCTTAGACTGATTCCTATTAAATTTCACCTTGCTAGTTCAGCCTATCACACCAACTTGTCAAGACCTTTCTGAATTTTTAATCTGCCATCAGAACAGACATACTTAATATCCCTCCCACCAAATTAATATGATATGATGCCTTTTATACCTTCATTCAAGACACAGAATGGGATGCAGCCAAAGGCAAAGTTTTCAGGAAAGTCTACTAAACATTAATCCACACAGTCTGGATACACCCTCGGCCAATTATAATTCAACCAAAAGTCTCTGCATTGGAGTACATATTCTCTGTCTTATCCACAAGAACAGCTTGAGAGCTTTTGGAAAGGTTGAAAAGAAGCCCCAATTCACAACTACCATACTTTCTTGTTGGACAAATCTAGCTCCTAACAACCCTGTGAAGGAAGGAAACTAAATTCTTCAGAGATCCAGATCACAGAATTCCCTCCTTATTCTTCTCAGTGCATAAAAGACCTCTTTAATGACCATTACTACAACCTTAACCTTGAAACCAAAGTTGGCTAAAAACTGCCCTTTTCTTTTGAAAATCTTTCAGAATCATGCCTGTTCTCCTCCCCACAAACTCTCATCTCAGTACCGATGCTACCATCCAACCAACTGCTCAACCCATATCCCAGAAGCCATCTTTGATTCATCTCTGTCCCTCATCCCCACATTGAAATCATTGGTAAATTCTATGGGATATAATCCAAATATGTCCTAAGTCTGTTCATTTCTATCTCTACAGCCACAACCTTAGTCCAAACCACCGGGCCTCCTACTGTTTCTGTTCCCACTCTAGCCCCCATAAACTTTACACACTAGCTGGAATAGAAATGTAAAAATTTTAAATCAGCCGGATGTGGTGGCTCACGCCTGTAATCCAAGCACTTTGGAGGCCAAGGCGGGCGGATCACCTGAGGTCGGGAGTTCAAGACCAGCTGACCACCATGGTGAAACCCCATCTTTAAAAAAAATATAAAAATTTAAAAAATTATTTTAAAAAAAATGTTTAAATCAGATAATTCTTCTCTTTCCTTAAAACCATTTAATCATTCAAACTTCCTTCCATGGCCTATAAGACGCTGAATGTCCTGAGTCCCCTCCTCTTTAGTCTTATACCATAGTGCCAACACTAGCTGCTCCAGCCCCTCGTTCCTTAAGCCCCTCTCCCCCAAGTGCCAGCCTACCTGAGGGTCTTTTCTCTTAGCCCCTCTAAGAACACTCTTCTCTCAGATCTTGCATGAGCTCCTAATCTTTCATGTTTCAGCTACTCATAAGCCTACTCAGATCACCACTGTCTAAAGTTGGTTGTCTGCTTCCCATCATATTTCTTCAGTTATTAGCATGCATTTATCACAAACCAAAATTATCTTGCTTATTTTACTTTTCCCCTCCTCTCCCTTGCTAGAATATAAATGAGATAAGCAGGGACTTTATCTGCCTGGTTTAACATTGTGTTTCTATACCTGGCATGGTGTTCAGTTAATATTTGAGAATGAATGGAAGAATAAAGAGATCTTGCGTATGAGTGGGGATTTTAGGATGGGTATTTTTAGGTCAGAAGTTGGAGACTGTATCACCATTGGAAAATGTGGAGCAGCAGTTGGAACTCATATGGTCTCACTTTAAAATGCTGTGGTGGCCACTCCACCAACACTGAGCATGAAGTTTTTCAGTTCTTTAACACTTTGCCAGAATTACATTAATTATAGAAGTTCCTCTGAATTAATACATATATCTGTTAAAAATGGAATGGTTAGGGATTTATCTGTCATCCATATTCAGTAAAAATTTCCATTCAGGTAGCTTTATCTCTAAGAGAGGAAGCGTCCTGCATTGTAGGCTGATACTTGAAGGGAGACAGCCAGGCTGCCATTGTGAGTAGCCTGGGGAAAATGGTACCAAAAAAGTAGAAAAGTGCCTTCTTCTGAAATTTCCACCAACAGACTCCGAACCCAGAAAAAGGAAACATTCTTTTACATCCTTCCCTGTGCTGCCCGGTCCCAGAATTTACCTTGGTACTGCTGATGTTTCACCTATACTATAAAAGAGTGCAATGAGGCTATCTGGAAATCTCAGGACCACTCAGCAGAACACTAAATTTCCCATGGGAATTGACTGATGACACATAGGTGAGGGGCCATTTTCATTTACAATAGATTTGCAAGCCTTTGAGCTTACACACATTATTGGTCTAAAAGATCATCTTGTCCTTGTCCACCTTCACTATGATTACCCCTTTCCTCCTGGGCACAATTTCTACTGTTTCCCAAATAACCAGTAAATACAGCTGGGTGTGGTGGCTCACACCTGTAATTCCAGCACTTTGGGAGGCCCAGGTGAGCAGATCACATGAAGCCAGGAGTTCGAGACCAGCCTGGCCAACATGGCGAAACCTCCCTCTCTACTGGAAATACAAAAACTAGCCAGGGATAGCAGTGCGCATTTGTAATTCCAGCTACTTGGGAGACTGAGGCAGAAGAATCCTTGAACCCAGGAGGTGGAGGTGTGATCACACCACTGCACTCCAGCCTGGGTGATGGAGTATTCTGTCAAAAAAAAAAAAAAGCCCCACAAAACAAAAAGCCCCAAACCAGTGAATACAACCATCCTTTCCCTTGGGGCAGAAAAATTCATGAAAACTAAATACAAGAGAAGAAAAGGGGAGAAAGGTTCTGTTGATTTCCTCAAAGGCAAAGATACTTTACAGTACCTGAGAACTAGCTAATTTGCAATAAATCTCTAATTGTTTTTCCACCAAACTTTATGTATTGCTTTAACAAGCTTAAAGCCACTTATTTAGACAGACAATTTACTCCACTAGTCCCATCAATGAAATGAAAGGAACTCTGTTTTATTATTTTATCTGCAACATCTGAGACTAGGAAAGGGAAAGGCAGGGAACTGACCTACCTTTGCTGTTACAATGTTATTAGCATACCTCCTAAAATCTTGTGTGAAACAGCTTGTGCTATGATTTGGGGGCCATTACAATAACTACAACTTCTCTTGCCTTTGATTCAGATTTCTTTTCAGGCTATGCCATGACCTGACCTTGCAGGCAGCCAAGCCTGGCAGGCCTCTCCTCCACACAGGTCCTTGAAGCCAGCCAGTCTTAACACTGTGTCTTCATCATTCACTCAGTTTGTATGGGTCTCTCCCCATAGAAGTGGCCCTGACACAAACCGATCAAATGGTTTAGAATATGTCTAAGAGTGCTTTATAATCTTCTTGCCCTTCCTACAGGTGATTTAATCCTTCCTCCCCATCCCACCTGCCCAAGACTGCAGTACTACCAAGCTATTCAGAAGAGTCATAAATTAATCCACAACAATTGAATCTACAGGAGTAACACCTGCCCACTAAGTTAACTTAAAAGGTTGTGTGTATGCATGCAGGGATCAGATTAAATAATGTATTAAGTAACAGTTATACATAAAAATAATTTATTTTTGTATGTATTGTTCAGGTTATTATTCAGGTGTTGGTGTTTTAATTTGTTAAACTTCTCACAAACATATACTGTTGGAAAGGGCCACACAGGGAAAGATCAGTGCTCAAGCTAAAAGCATGAATGCCTAATGTGGACTTTTAGGCACTAATACCTGGATGGAAGAGGTATTTGGGGACAGAGATGTTTTCTTAGTGTTCCCGAAATCACAACATACAAGTAACCCTTTATAACCCTCTCTAATGTAGCAACTAAATTTGAGCCTGGACATGAATCCCTCCCCTGACCTGAAGAACTACTGCTCTGGGATGGAACTAAATAATCCTTATCTTGGCACTTGATCATACAGCCCATATGCAGTTCTTAGACCGCTTCATTGCATAAATCCTCTCTCCCCCCTCAAGCCTTAAACTCTTTGAGCGCACAAATTTTATGTGTTCTCATTGTACACCAATGTTAAGTATTCAGTCAACACCTGGCAGACTGAACTGAGGAGTATGACTTACAGAAAAAATCTACCTGAACATACGCAAGACTCAAAGACTTTTTGAGTTTACAACATCATGACCAACTATCCACTTTTACTGCAAAGTGAACCTTTCATACAGATTATTTCCAAAACCCAAATGGTTCCCCGTCATCACCAGCTTGTCCCTGACCCAGTTCTCCTTTTAACCTGATTGCAATCTAATTCCATCCTCCCTTCCCTCGCCCTTTGAAGATGCACCACGGTGGTGCATCTTGAACCGTGCCAGGAACGTGCCTCATCTTTCCCCTTTAAAAATTTTTCATTTGGGATTGCATTAACAAAGGCGACAGGCATCCTCTGGAGAAAACTCGGAATCCCTGCCCGACCCCTCCTCTAGGGGTGCCACTCGGCCGTACCGAGCTTCACAGGAGAAATGTGGCCCAGTCTAAGGCGCCCCTGTTCCTCAGAGGTGGGAAGGAGAAAGACATTTCTACGTGAGAGTTTGATCACTTTAAGGGACAAAACCCAAAACTCGCAATCGTTTTCAAGGCAAACTCAAGAAAGTTCACGCGCCGGGCAGCCCTTCCAGGCCCCGCCTCGGCTGCCCAGCAGCTCGAAGGCTCCAACCCACCGTTCCCTGGCCGGCCACCGCGGGGTTCCGTGCGCCCTAAACGGGATCTGGCCAGGCCCCGCCCTCCACTCCTCGACAACCCCGCGTCTCCTCAAAACCTCTGCGCGTCCCTCTCCTTCCCGGCCCCGACCCCACTCCCCGTAGGCCCAGGCCTCTCTGGGCTGGGCCCTCTTCTCGACCCGCCGTCCACGGGCCATGCCTCGTCCTCACCCCAATCCTTGTGGCCCTCCAGAGCCGAACTCTCATCTCTTCCTTTCTCCCACTCAGTTCCTATTTCTCCCCAAATACCTCCCACCTTAGACCCTTCAGCCGCTCGAGCCAGAACCGCTCCTTCCCTTCTCTCGCCAGGATCCATCCCCTGCAGACACCTCGCTCGCCATCCGTGTGCCCGCCTCCTCTCTGCCATTCATTCCGCCCAGCTAGACGCCTTCCTCCCTCTCCGGAGCCCCGCTCCCTCCAGCCCCTGCCCTCCGCCCCACAGGACCCCTTCCCCCTTACCTCACGCCCATCTTCCAGCAGCAGCCACCCGGCGCTCATCCCTACCCGCCGCAGGCACCAGCTCCGACCACCGGCGCGGTCTCCCGTGACCAAGAAGCCAGGCTCCCCCATCGTCTGCTCGACCCCGGGTGGCGGTCAGCACCAAACTAGACCCCGACCCGGGTTCTGGCGGCCTCGCTGCGTCCCGGCAGCTTCCATAGCTAAACAACAGACAGAAGCAATCGCCAGCGCTCAGATCGATGTGAATACAGGCTCCGCCCGCCCGCCGTCGACCCGGAAGCAGGAGCACTGCGCCTGCGCGAGAGGAAGGCGGCCGCCCCGGGGCGGAGAGGGTTGGCTGGGAGTGGATCCCGCCTCGTGCGGGGCGGGCGCGGTTTGAGGGCTCTCCTCCTCGAGTGACTTGTCTTGCCCGCTCCAGAACCATCACCCAGTCCTGGCCGCCCCAGACTGGAACCTCTCCTCACCTTTCCTCTTTTTTAAAAAAATCATGTAAAACTATAGCACACTTTTAAACAATTTTAAACTTTCCATCAGTTTTAAGTCCGCCTAGCCTGTTCCTAAATAGCCTCTATTTTGCACGACCTCCTCATATTGCCGAAGTAAAAAATAAATTACACTAGGCAAATCTACAAAGACACAGAGCACAGTTACTTGGGGCGAGGTGTGGGAGCGGGGATTGAATGCAGATGGGCTTGGAGAAATTGAAGGAAAGCAGTAACAGAAATGTTCTAAAAGTGGATTGTGAAAAATAAAAGTGGATTGTGGTGACAGTTGCACAACTGTATAAATTTATTAAAAAGTCATAGAAGTGCTGTAATCCCAGCACTTTGGGAGGCTGAAGGGGGCGGATCGCTTGAGCTCAGGAGTTCCAGACCAACCAGGCCAACTTGGGGAGACCCCGTCTCAAAAAAAAGGTGGGGGAGGGGAGAGGAGGGAAGGGAGATGAGGGGACCAGGAACGTCTGGGAGGGGAGCGAAGGGGAGGGGAGGGGGCCAAGAACGGAGGGAAGGTGAAGGGAGGGGAGGGGCAGGAACAGAGGGAAGGGGAGGGGAGGGGAGAGGGGCAGGAACGGAGGAAAAGGAAGGGGAGGGGACGAGAGGGAAGGAGAGAGGGGCAGGAACGGAGGGAAGGGGAGGGGAGGGGGCCAGGAAGATGGGTGGGAATCATAGCTGCACTCATGGAAATGCTTCCCTAAGCTGTGCATAGGTATCTGTTGGTGGCCCCACCCCACCTTAGCATTCTATCCCAGGAACAGCAAGCACACCTGGAAGCCACTGTGACATTTAGTCTGTGTGTCTCCTTAGACTCCTCTTGGCTGTGGTAGATTTTTCAGTCTTTCCTTGTTTTTGATGACCTCGACAATTTGAGGGGTACTAGAGAGATATTTTGTATAATGTCCCTCAGTTGGGATTTGTCTGATGTTTTTCTTGTGATGAGACTGGGGTTATGGGTTTGGAGGAGGAAGACCACAGAGGTAAAGTGTCATTCTCATGGCATCATATCAAGGGTACAGGCTACCAACATGAATTATCACTGTTGATGTTCATCTTGATCACCTGGCATTTCTCATTTCTTGATCTGAGAGTGCCACACAGATAAAACATTCCAGGGTGGGATTGCAACCATGGTTAGGAAATTTTGCTCTGGAAATCTAGGTGGTGTTTGCCAGGCTTCTCCATTGTAAACTTACTTTTTTTTTTTTTTGGAGATAGAGTCTCACTCAGTGGCCCAGGCTGGAGTGCAATGGTGCAACTTGGCTCACTGCAACCTCCACCTCTCAGGTTCAAGCAATTCTCCTGCCTCAGGCTCCTGAGTAGCTGGGACTACGGGCGCATGCTGTTATGCCCAGCTAACTTTTGTATTTTTAGTAGAAATGGGGTTTCACTATGTTGCCCAGGCTGGTCTTGGACTCCTAACCTCAGTGATCTGCCCACCTTGGCCTCCCAAAGTGCTGGGATTACAGGCATGAGGCACCACACCCAGCCTAAACTTATTCTTTTTTTTCTCTCTTTCCACACTGTACTCTTTGGAATGAAGTCACTATTCCTAGGCCACATTTAAGGAGTGGGGAATTATGCTCCACTTCCTTAAGTGCAGGGTTGCTACAGAAACTATGGAATTCTGCATAGGAGTTTGTCTCTCCTCTCCTGTTTATTTATTTATTCAATTTTTTATTTATATCAGGCCAGGTAGGGTGGCTTAAGCCTGTAATCCCAGCACAGCACTTTGGGATGCCACGGTTGACCGCTCACTTGAGCCCAGGAGGTTCAAGATGGGCCTGGGCAACATAGCAAGACCCCCTCTCTACCAATAATAAATTGAAAATGTGGCTGGGTGTCGTGGCACACACCTGTCATCCCAGGTACTTGGGAGGCTGAGGCAGGAGGATCAGTTGAGCCCAGGAGGTCAGGGCTGCGGTGAGCCACTGCACTCCAGCCTGGGTGACAGAGTGAGACCTGTCTCAAAAATAAAATAAAATAAATAAAATAAAAAATATATCGGTGTGGGCCCATGGATATTTATTTCATACTTTGGGTTATAATCTAATACTGCTTCATTTATTTTGGGTCTCAAATTGTTCCTACTTTGGCCATTGAGAGCTCTTTCAGGTGGCTCTGGTGTCCTTTTAACATACTCCCATTGTTGTATTTTGCCGAGTACTTCCTTACTTTCTGGCACAAGATGCCCCAGACCTAGAATCAGCCATTTCTCCAAGGATCTCTGGTTTCTTCATTGGAAAATGGTATTAGACACCAAGAAACTCTGGTACTAGGTGCAGTCATTGCTAGTGGGATGTCATTGTTTCTAGGCCTTCTCAGCTGACAGAGCAAATAAATATATGGGTGAATATAAACCCTCTATAGACACATATTTATAAATATGTATGCATATATATACACACATTTGTGTTATGTGTGTGTGTATCTGTAAGCTAGGCATGAGTTCATTCTGATGTCTTACCAGACTAATCCATTCCTACCTGAGTCATTTGGCTATCTTCCCTTGTTTATCTGTAACTTCTACTTCAAAAGTGAGAACCCAGAATCCCACCATCTGTCATCCCTTGACTTAATCTTTCATTTCCAGTATACATGTATAATGGTTTCAGAATTGTTAGCCCATATACTTGTGGAGACAACCTTAACACCTACAGTACAGTACTGACATGCAGGTCTTTTGCCTTCAGTCTTACAGACTCCACTCATTTCCGGAGTTGCTGAGGTCAGCACCCCTTTCCCTCAACCCCCTTCAGAGAGGTTGTTTCATACATTTATAATACAGTTAGATTGTTTTGTCATAGTCTGTTCTATCTGGGATCCCCTGACCTGCTAAATGATTGCTTAGAATTTGTATACATTTTATGTTAATAATGATTGACTAATGCACACATTAAGGTTAATATATATGTTAAGGTTCACTCTTACTGCAAAGTTCTATGCGTTTTGATAGATACATAGTATCGTGTATACACTATTACAGCATCAGAGAAAATAGTTTTTTTTTTTTTTGAGTTGGAGTTTCGCTCGTTACCCAGGCTGGAGTGCAATGGCGCAATCTCGGCTCACCGCAACCTCCGCCTCCTGGGTTCAGGCAATTCTCCTGCCTCAGCCTCCCGAGTAGCTGGGATTACAGGCACGTGCCACCATGCCCAGCTAATTTTTTGTATTTTTAGTAGAGACAGGGTTTCACCATGTTGACCAGGATGGTCTCGATCTCTTGACCTCGTGATCCACCCGCCTCGGCCTCCCAAAGTGCTGGGATTACAGGCTTGAGCCACCGCGCCCGGCGAGAAAATAGTTTTATTGCCTGAAAAAATCCCCCAGGCTTCACCTGTTCACCCCTACTCCCACCCACTGTACCTCAATTGTTTAATTTAAGTACCCTGGAGATGACTCCATAACAGTATTACATATATTCCTCTCTTTTTTTTAATTAAAAAAAAAAAAAAATTCCGGCCGGGCATGGTGGCTCATGCCTGTAATCCAAGCACTTTGGAGGCCAAGGTGGGCAGATCACCTGAGGTTGGGAGTTCAAGACCAGCCTGACCAACATGGTAAAACCCCGTCTTAAAAAAAAAAAAAGAAAAATTCCTCGGCCTCCCAAAGTGTTGGTGTGAACCACTGCACCCAGTCCCTCCTTCCTTTTGACAGCTGTGTATTACTCTATTGTGTAGATGTTGATGGCTGTTGTGAGACCTCAGTTTTTGTCTTCTTAGTTTAAAGGAATTTAAACAAGAGACATACAGCAAAGGAGATGCATCATAGAGCAATTTATTGCAAAGCAAAAAGAATATTTTGAAAGTAAAGTGCAGAAGAAACAATATACCTGAGAGAGGATTCAGGGCAGGACAGCCAAGCCTGGCGGGAGACTCCCTTTATGGGAGACTTACATGATTATTCATAAAGGAGTGGGAAGAGGTGCTACTAGGAAGCATGTAGGGGGCGGTCCTCTGGGTGTACATGCACAGGAGCTGTACATGCCCATTCATACCCACATGTCTCATTAGCACCTTAAATCTCTACCCAGGCATGTGGTTTTACTATTATAATGAGCAAAGTGTCAGTCTGAGGACAGGCAAAATCAAAATATGCATGCTGTCTGTGGGGGAAATTCTCTGCTAGAGACAGCTTTGCCTGAATGAGCTTGACTACATGTGAATGCTGGGGCTTATTGTGTTGACTGTACAGTCACCACTATTGTTGTGTCCTGAGTTGCTTCCTTGAGTACCTAACCTGCTTCACAGATACACCACTGTTTATTCAACCAGTCCCTTATTGATATGCAGTAGTAGATAACCCAGTCTTTTACAGTCACAAATAGCCCTGCCATGAATTCACAGGCACCACTTTTGAGTGCCTATTACATGCTTACCGTATATCATCTTATTAATCCTCACTACCATCCTGCAAGTTTTCCTCATTTTACCTATGAGAAAACTAAGACTGCTAGGTTGCCCAGAGCCTCATTACTATGAGTTTCTTGAAGGTTGTGTCTTATTTTCCATTGCATTCCTGACATTTTACTGAATGAATAAATGTAACTCAACTAGTAAATGGCAGTGCAGGGAACAGAAGCCAGGGCTGTAAGACTAGATCTGTCTAGCCCCGGAGGTTGCATTCATTATAGTCTAGCAGTAGAAATGGCCATCCACAGGGAGTGCACAAATGATTCATTTGTTTGTGGATAGAATATAACAGGATATCTAATTAGGGTTGTTTTTTTTTTTTTTTTCTTTCTTTATATATGTATTTTTTGAGATGGAATCTTGCTCTGTTGCCCAGGCTGGAGTGTAGTGGCATGATCTCAGCTCACT